ACTGTGGTCTGAGACACAGTTTGTTATAATTTCTGTTCTTTTACATTTGCTGAGGAGTGCTTTACTTCCAACTATGTGGTCAATTTTGGAATAAGTGTGATGTGGTGCTGAGAAGAATGTATATTCTGTTGATTTGGGGTGGAGAGTTCTGTAGAAGTCTATTAGGCCCGCTTGGTGCAGAGTTGAGTTCAATTCCTGGATATCCTTGTTAACTTTCTGTCTTGTGGATCTGTCTAATGTTGACAGTAGGGTGTTAAAGTCTCCCATTATTATTGTGTGGGAGTCTAAGTCTCTTTGTAGGACTCTAGGGGTGTGCCTTATGAATCTGGGTGCTCCTATGTTGGGTGCATATATATTTAGGATAGTTAGCTCTTCTTGGTGAATTGATCCCTTTACCATTATGTAATAGTCTTGTCTCTTTTGATTTTTGTTGGTTTAAAGTCTGTCTTATCAGAGACTAGGAATGCAACCCCTGCTTTTTTTGTTTTCCATTTGCTTAGTAGATCTTCCTCTATCCCTTTATCTTGAGCCTATATGTGTCTCTGCACCTGAGATGGGTCTCCTGATTACAGCACACTGATGGGTCTTGACTCTTTATCCAATTTGCCAGTCTGTGTCTTTTAATTGGAGCATTTAGCCCATTTACATTTAAGGTTAATATTGTTATGTGTGAATTTGATCCTGTCATTATGATGTTAGCTGATTATTTTGCTCATTAGTTGATGCAGTTTCTTCCTAGCATCAATTGTCTTTACATTTGGCATGTTTTTGCTGTGGCTGGTACTGGTTTTTCATTTCCATGTTTAGTGCTTCCTTCAGGAGCTCTTGTAAGGCAGGCGTGGTGGTGAGAAAATCTCTCAGCATTTGTTTGTCTGTAAAGGATTTTATTTGTCCTTTACTTATGAAGCTTACTTTGGCTTGATATGAAATTCTGGGTTGAAAATTATTTTCTTTTAGATGTTGAATATTGTCCCCACTCTCTTCTGGCTTTTAAGGTTTCTGATGAGAGATCTGCTATTAGTCTGATGGGCTTTCCTTTGTGGGTAACCAGACATTTCTCTCTGGCTGCCCTTAACATTTTTTCCTTCATTTCAACTTTGGTGAATATTATAATTTTGTGTCTTGGAGTTGCTCTTCTTGAGGAGTATCTTTGTGGCATTCTCTGTATTTCCTGAATTTGAATGTTGGCCTGCCTTGCTAGGTTGGGGAAGTTCTCCTGGATAGTATCCTGCAGAGTGTTTTCCAACTTGGTTCCATTCTCCCCGTCACTTTCAGGCACACCAATCAGATGTAGATTTAGTCTTTTCCCATAGTCCCATATTTCTTGGAGGCTTTGCTTGTTTCTTTTTACTCTCTTTTCTCTAAACTTCTCTTCTTGCTTCATTTCATTCATTTGATCTTCAATCACTGATACCCTTTCTTCCACTTGATCAAATTGGCTACTGAAGCTTGTGCATGAGTCACAAAATTGAGATAAGAGGTAGGAGACTTCAAGCACAGTGGCTCAGCACGTGTGTGTTCAGGGCAAGTGAAGGTTCCCCTCCACTGGATTCAATGACTAAAGATTATGAAGATACCAAAAATGCAAGAAGTCATAGGAGATAGCTTTTCTCAATGGCAAAGATGACACAAGTAGAATGGTTAAGAAGGAAGGTTTATTGGCTTCAATTTCCCAGCTGATGTTCAACATTTTATTTAGTTCTCATTTGGATTTTAGACATTTGCTTGAAAAATAATTTTACATCAATTTCAATTTCTTTGGAAAGCCCCCACATGTAATTTATTGATAACATCTCTGAAGAGCAGAATTAATGATTTTTCCCAGCTGTTGCTGCAGATCAGGTAGAGTAGAGGAGGCTGAAGACTGCCACAATGGAAAACATCTGTATTGTCTCAAAACATTAGGATGGTACGGATACTGCAGTAGGAAAGAAGAGACATTGCATTAACATTTAGACAACCCACATGCTTCCATGTGAGAGTCCAAGGAGCATTTGAAATGCCTAAGTGAAAATCTGTCTGTTCTCAGTCACTCTAATCCCACCCCCATGCATTTGGGTCAAGTCAAGTCAAAGGAAAGTTCATCTTTTTTGGTTTTCTCTTGTGTTTTCCTCAACTTTAAGCTCACTCACAACATTCTGAGTGTGCCTGTCGTTTAGACTTCAATACCACATTAGCATCTTCAAAAAATCATTCTTGTGTGCCCATGTTCCTGGTATAATAAGGAATATAAAATACAACAATGGATAATAACTTGTGATAAGTTTTTGCTATTTGTCACATTCTTCATGCATTTTCTCACTTAAACTTCAACCTAAACATCAACATTAGGAGGTAGGTTTTCATATTATTTTGATTTTAGAGATTACAAACACCAAGACTTAGAAAGATTTGTAACTTTGTCTGGTCGCACATCTAGTATAGAGTTTTGGAATTAAAACTCAAATACAAATTTGCACACGTTATAAGATGATAAATAACTTGCCCGAAAGAACTGATAATTTAACAAATTTAAGAGCATGCCAGAAGTTTAAAAGACCTTTGATACAGAGATGTTTAAGGATTCTTAGAAGTAGAGAATAAAGTCGATTTGTATTAATTCCAAGATACTTCATTCTTGTGAATATTAGAAACATAACATTTACATTAGAATTAATGCCCTTTCTACAAACCAACTTCTCATGAATATTTTTAGAAAATGATGGTCTTTGTGACTCTTTAATAATTTTTAAAATATATGAGTATATGCATATGCATATATAAAAAAATATATGCACATAATTCAGAGAATACAAGACGGCAGAAAGAAGAAAGTAAAAGTAATCCATAATGCCCCAACCTAGAAATAGTCATCCTCAATGTTTTCTTGAATTTCTATCAACTTTTTACTAGACATATATATAAGTTTTACTGCTCTGGTTGAAAATTTGAGATATTGTATATAAAATTTATATTCTTTATTATATTAGCCTAAATTATATCATGAGAATCTCCCAGTGATGTCATTTTTTTTTGATGGCTTGATTCATTTCTAATAGCTGGTTGGAATTTATTAAACCATTTTCCTCATGTTGAAATTTAGAATGTTTCTAATGTTTGATATTACAGAAACAAGTAAACATGCTGAAACACATATGTATGTTTGAATAGTTGATTATTTCTGTAGAATAGATTTCTAGAAATGGAATTGTTGGAACAAAAGATCCAGTTTTTTTTTAAGGGTTTCTGACACATATTACCAAATTGCTTTCCCAAAAGGATGTATCAATTACTACTGAAAATACATGAAAGTGCCTAGCCACCTTAGTCTTACCAATATTGAATGTTACAATTTTTAATCTTATTTTATTGATAGGATTAATTATATTTACATACATGTATTACTATATGACATTCTCATAAAGTGAATTTAGGCATGCTTCATGACTTCTAATGTTGCTCAACACTGTCCTCTGGTTTTGTTCATCTCTATATTTGCCATCATCTTTTCAATCCTATGATGATGATGATGATCATGATGATGATGTCAATGATAATAATGATGATATCAAAGATAACTAACCTTTGATGGCTACTGTTGTCCATATATCCATGCACTCTTGAGGGGCAGTATAGTTTAATAGAAGTGAATAGATTTGCTAACAACAAGATCTACCTTTGAATTCTGGCTCTCCTTCCTATCATCTGATGATTTATGACCAAGTCATGCCTTCTCCAAGTCTCAGTTTTCTCTTCTCTAACATAGTGAGATTGAGACTGACACTGAGCATTGCCTGGGAATCACATAAGATAGTGCAGGTAAGACACTTAGTAGAACAGCTGGTGCTCTGTGGGTGCTAGTTTCTTTTCCTCCTCAACAATGTTGTCGGTTAAAGTGTCTACTATAATAATTTTGTGAGTGCCAAAGAAACACTATTTAAAGTTGAAAATCTTGTGAAAATAAGAATGGGATAGCAGAAAAATCTCAGACTCTGGAGCTAGAAGGCAGAGGTTAGGTATAACTGCCTGTTTCCAGTTGTGCCTCATGTAAATGCAGGTGACAAAATTCATTTTATTAGCTGGTTGTAAGAGTTAAGTGTTAGAGACAGGAAATAGAATTAGCTTAGTTTTCTAAGCTTCAGACAAAAAGTAAGCCAAACATTTACAATAGTGTTTAGTATACTTCTCTTTTACAATAAATTTTACTGAAAAAAAATTTTTGTAAACCACAAAAGTAAAAAAAGGAAAAAGAAAAAACTAGTAAGATCTGCTTAGAAAACAAACCAAATGTAGTTTCACATACTCCAATAATGAAAATGTTGAGGATGTCCTGAAAATTATTTAAATATACAGCCACCTAATGTCAGCTTTATATAGGTGGCAGGTAGAGGCTTCAATGACACCATGTTATAATTATGGTTGTTTAAATAGAATTTTTTTTTTTTTTTTTTTTTTTTGAGACTGAGTCTTGCTCTGTCGCCCAGGCTGGAGTGCCGTGGCACGATCTTAGCTCACTA